CCAAACTCAAATTCAAGTCCAAAACATGCCAAATCTCACCAAATACAACAAAATGACTTGAATCAAAGGAATAGCCAAGCAATGGCATACAAGAACCCTAAACACAAGCTCTAGATATGCATTTTCACAAGACAATGCATAAACACTCACATTTCATAGCAAAACACAAGTAGAATCCAAGAAATCATCATATAGGTAAGAAAAATATATTTTGTAGAGCATGGGTTACCTCTTGTAGACAAAAACCTTCTCTTAACACCTCACCAAGCTCCCAACAAAGCTCACCTTCCACACCCACCTCCTAGATGCCCAAATGTATGAAAGGTAGAATCTTGGAGACAACTCTTGAAGTTTTGACAAAGCTTCAACTTGGCTTGGAAGAAAAGCTATCTACCTTTTTAGAGAGAATGTGGAGCTATAATTTGGAAAGTTGTTATAGGCCAGGATATCAAGGATTGCGTCACAGGCTTAGAAACTTAGGAATAAAAATGAAGTTTTTCTGGAGTGCTTCTTTTCCCCAAATGAAGCGTTTTTTTGGAGTGCTTCTTCTCCCCCAAATGAAGCGTTTTTATGGAGTGCTTCTTCTCCCCCAATCTTCCATTTAATAGGAAGCCCAAAATACAAATTTCCCAGATGTTCCCCTTCTTCAAGTACATAGGTAGGTATATATACAACACTATAAAATCACCCACTAACCCACTACTGTATTATAACTACCCATGATCCCACTACAAACTAATAATAAGGTAAAGTGTTCTAACTATAAACTACCTAAGGAAGTGGTCATCCCACTACTATAATAATAATAATAATAATAATAATAATAATAATAATAATAATAATAATAATAATAATAATAATTAATAATAATAATAATAATAAATAATAATAATAATACATAATAATAATAATAATAATAATAATAATAATAATAATAATAAAATAATAATAATAATAATAATAATAATAATAATAATAATAATAATAATAATAATAATAATAATAATAATAATAATAATAATAATAATAATAAATAATAATAATAATAATAATAATAAAATAAAATAATAATAATAATAATAATAATAAAATAATAATAATAATAAAATAATAATAATAATAATAATAATAATAATAATAATAATAAAATAATAATAATAATAATAATAATAATAATAATAATAATAATAATAATAATAAATAATAATAATAATAATAATAATAATAATAATAATAATAATAATAATAATAATAATAATAATAATATAATAATAATAATAATAATAATAATAATAATAATAATAATAATAATAATAATAATAATAATAATAATAATAATAATAATAATAATAATAATAATAATAATAATAATAATAATAATAATATAATAATAATAATAATAATAATAATAATAATAATAATAATAATAATAATAATAATAATAATAATAATAATAATAATAATAATAATAATAATAATAATAAATAATAATAATAATAATAATAATAATAATAATAATAATAATAATAATAATAATAATAATAATAATAATAATAATAATAAATAATAATAATAATAATAATAATAATAAAAAAAATAATAATAATAATAATAATAATAATAATAATAATAATAATAATAATAATAATAATAATAATAATAATAATAATAATAATAATAATAATAATAATAATAAATAATAATAATAATAATAATAATAATAATAAATAATAATAATAATAATAATAATAATAATAATAATAATAATAATAATAATAATAATAATAATAATAATAATAATAATAATAATAATAATAATAATAATAATAATAATAATAATAATAATAATAATAAATAATAATAATAATAATATAAATTAATAATAATAATAATAATAATATAATAATAATAATAATAATAATAATAATAATAATAATAATAATAATAATAATAATAATAATAATAATAATAATAATAATAATAATAATAATAATAATAATAATAAATAATAATAATAATAATAATAATAATAATAATAATAATAATAATAATAATAATAATAATAATAATAATAATAATAATAATAATAATAATAATAATAATAATAATAATAATAATAATAATAATAATAAATAATAATAATAATAATAATAATAATAATAATAATAATAATAATAATAATAATAATAATAATAATAATAATAATAATAATAATAATAATAATAATAATAATAATAATAATAAATAATAATAATAATAATAATAATAATAATAATAATAATAATAATAATAATAATAATAATAATAATAATAATAATAATAATAATAATAAATAATAATAATAATAATAATAATAATAATAATAATAATAATAATAATAATAATAATAATAATAATAATAATAATAATAATAATAATAATAATAATAATAATAATAATAATAATAATAATAATAATAATAATAATAATAATAATAATAATAATAATAATAATAATAATAATAATAATAATAATAATAATAACAACTGCAACAACACTTGTATCATTAGAAGAAGCACTCCAGAAAAGCTTCGTTTTTATTCCTAAGTTTCTATGCCTGTGACGCGATCCTTGATATCCTGGCCTATAACATTTGGTATCAGAGTCAGTCGTTATGGGCGACACAACGTTGACCAACTCTGTTACTGCGATTCGCGGGGTGGTCCATTCGCTTCACGCAGTGCTGGCTGACCAGGCTGAATTACATGCAATGTTTCGAGAATTTCTGGCCGAAAAGGAGCAAGTTTTCACCAAAAGCAGCCATGCAGCACCACTGACGAACTCTGAGACAGCTCCAACGCCGTCAAGGCCAGGGGGGCAGTCCGCATCAGTCTCTGCCATGCGAACTCCAGCTGCTGCGTCGTTTCCAGCCAGCGTTGCTGCCAACTCGTTAGGACGTCGCCCGGCATTGTGTTCCATCACCTTGAGGACAAGGTGATTTTGATGGGCGGGGAAATAATACAAGTGTTGTTGCAGTTATTATTATTATTATTATTATTATTATTATTATTATTATTATTATTATTATTATTATTATTATTATTATTATTATTATTATTATTATTATTATAGTAGTGGGATGACCACTTCCTTAGGTAGTTTATGGTTAGAACACTTTACCTTATTATTAGTTTGTAGTGGGATCATGGGTAGTTATAATACAGTAGTGGGTTAGTGGGTGATTTTATAGTGTTGTATATATACCTACCTATGTACTTGAAGAAGGGGAACATCTGGGAAATTTGTATTTTGGGTTTCCTATTAAATGGAAGATTGGGGGAGAAGAAGCACTCCATAAAAACGCTTCATTTGGGGGAGAAGAAACACTCCAAAAAAACGCTTCATTTGGGGAGAAGAAGCACTCCAGAAAAGCTTCGTTTTTATTCCTAAGTTTCTAAGCCTGTGACGCGATCCTTGATATCCTGGCCTATAACAAAAGTGTAAGGAGAGAAATGAGGGTGTTCTACTAGGTTAGCTTACAATACTAACACAAGGTGAAAAGTCAAGAATACCCTTACTAACATGAAGAGGTGTAAGGAACAAGAGAACTCCCTACAAAGCTCAAGGTACATCTTGGACTTTGTGGTTGACTAGTAAATTACTAGTCCCCGACTATTGAATTTTCAGGATTTTAGGAATTAAATTACCAATTGAAATAGGTTTAATTATTTAATTAATCCCTTAATCGAATTTGGATTTCGGGGTGTCACACAGACAGTTCGATACAAGCATAACCAAGATTCTCTGCTCAGTAGTCAACCATTTCTTTTCTGATCTCGCGGCTTGGGTGAAACCACTAATCCGACCCAACAGATAACTCAAATAATCTCGGTACCCCATGGTATCCGTTCCAATCCAAGAATTACCACTGTACTGTGAAACTCCCGTAGTGGTCAGACTTAAGAGCTGAGCTAGCCTCTTCTCAGACAAAACAACCTTCACACCTCTTACCTTAGAGGTGACTTCTAACTTTCCACCATCTTTTGTCACAACCCTGTGACGGTAGAATTCCTTAACCAAACTCGGGTATGTTTCGACGCTTACGGTGAGAAACCCGTCCAACAGACCTTCATATCTCAACATTTCTAACAAGGAACTAGAAAACGATTCCGAGTCAAAGGCTTTACCTTCCAGAATGAGATAGTGGGCATCCACCCATTCCACTTTCCTAGCCAAGCTTGTCCTCCTAGGCATGGTTGCAAGATGACCCAAACACTCAAAGGAAGCCCCAAAACTTTTCTTCTTCTTTCTTCTTCTTCTCTCGCCCTCTCTCTCTCTCACCGTTTCTCGGCCTCTCGGCGAACTGTAGCAGCAAGGCGGCGGCGGCGAGGTGGCTCCGGTCGACGGCGGCTTTGAGCAGGTGGCGTCGGCGGTTGCTCAGCATCAGCAGGTGGCGACGGGCAGGGGCTGCTCTACGGGTAGGGGTGGGGGTTTGGTGGTTCACGGGTGGGAGAAGGAAGAAGGGAGAATGGGTTTGGGAATTTGGGGAAAATTTTGGGAAAGAGAAGATTTAATTTGGGGATTTTGGGTAAAGTGAACGGTTATGGGTTAAATCAAATTTAGATGAGATAAATTTTAAGAAACATAATTAGCTTAAGTGGTTTAAGGGTTGGATTGGTAATGTGCACACCTGTGTTCAAATCTTGGTGGTGACAAATTAAGATTTCTTTGTTCTTTTTAGGCTACACAAGGAGAAATTCTATAGGTTGTCTTTCATGAACACGTAGGGTAATTAATTAAACTTAAATGACTCACAAGAAAGGTTGGGTTACTATAATACATATGCAAGGCTACAGAATTAACACAAATATGATCCACATAAGCATAGAGAATCACACACAAGGAAGCAAGGCAACAAGGGAAAAAAGATACACTCTCAAGATAAGGATAGGCTTAGGAAAAAGGGTTACCTGCCATCTCGTCCTCAACCAAACCCTCCGTCTCAGCTTGGGATCGCCCCATCACAAACACACGACCCGAAGGTCTAGTCCAGCTGCTCCTCTACTCGAGCTTCCTCTCAAGACTCCACCGGGTCCCGAACTAGGTGGCAACGCCTTTTGGTTCGCTTGTTGAGGGCATACGGCAACCTTGTGTCCTCTATCTCCACATCTGTAGCATCGCAAGGCATTCCCTTGGCAGTCCTTTCCCACATGCTCCTTTCCACAGGTTCTGCATGCAAACCTCTTAGCTTGATCACCGGACCCTACTCGGTTTGATCCTTGAGGTGGGGAAGATGTGGTCTTGGCTTGGAAATCCGGTCTTGGTTTCTTGAAGTTGGATGATCCTCCACTTTCGTTCCTCTTCCTAGCAAGCTCAAAAGATCCGCGTTACAACTGTTGCACCCAATATAAGTCCACAGCACTCAGGTAAGCCTCTTTCAAGGTCCTCGGCTTGCTTACCGTCAAAGCCTTACGAGCCTCGTAGTTCAAACCGGCTACGAACTTCTCAACTTTCGCGAGCTTGATGGGGACAAGTATCCTAGCGAAGCGAGCTAGCTCCAGAAACCTCTTGTGGTACTCAACCAGCGTCGATGAACCCTGCTGGAGGTACAGAAAATCCTCATACATAGCAGCTCGAACATGTGCCGGGTAGAACCGCTCTCGCATCCGGTCCTTCAAAGTCGTCCAGTCGAAGTCGGGCTCCTCAAGATAAGTGAGTCCCTTATGCACCCACCACAAGTCTGCTTCATGACTGAAGTAGAATGATGCTAGCTCCACTCGGCGCTCCTCGGGGCACCCAACGACCGAGAAGGTCTTGTTAAAGGTTCTCACCCACTCCTCGAGCACGACAGGGTCTTCCTCACCGGCGAACATCGGTGGTCTATGGCTCGATACAAGGCGTCCAACATCTCTATACCCGGCAAGCAGTGGTGGTGGAACAGGATGGTTGTTGTGCAACAACGCTTCACTGAGGGTCTGCATGGTCTGCGTGAGGTGTTGTAGATTCTGGTCTAGCTGTTCATTCATTGGAGTCTCTGGCGTGCGTGCGCATTGACGAGGTGGTGCCATGGCAAAGTTTCTACAACAACAACACTATTACTAAACAAAACACCAAGCAAGCAAGCAAACTATGAAAAACACATAGCTCACCGCGCGTCCTAAGAGTCCTACGTCCTAAACACTTAGATACTTATGGTCATCTTAGGGTCTCAAACCACACTTAAGTTCTTAAAGATGAAGGTACAGAATTGTGTTTTGATATATATTGAATAAATTACAGCAGGAGAAACTATCAAGTATTTATACAGAGATAGAACCTAACTAATAGGAAACTAACGCCTAAACATGCTCTAACAAGTCTGACTATTCTAACTGCTTAACACGCCCCCGCAAGCTGACGGTGGACACGGAACAACGCCAAGCTTGGCCCTGAGATCATCGAACCGAGCAGTCGACAAAGCTTTGGTAAAGATGTCTGCCAACTGATCATGAGTAGAGACAAAGTTTACTTTTAGATCTCCGGAAGCAACTTTGTCGCGGACGAAGTGATAGTCTACTTCAACGTGTTTGGTCCGAGCATGGAACACGGGATTGGCGCATAGGTACGTTGCTCCCAAATTGTCACACCAAAGCACCGGGACTGTAGAGTGGTGAAGACCAAGATCGCGTAGTAAGGATTGGACCCACACCACTTCTGCAGCAACGTCAGCAAGACCCTTGTATTCGGCTTCAGTTGAGGAGCGAGCTACCGTTCGCTGCTTCATTGAAGTCCAGGATACCAAGTTCGGGCCAAGAAAGACGGCATAACCAGCTGTAGATTTCCTGTCAACTGAGCAACCAGCCCAGTCGAAGTCCGAGAACGCGTGCAGTGTCGGAGGCGCATCAGAAGCTGCGAGACGCAGACCAAGGGTTAGAGTACCTTTGATGTACCGAAGCACACGTTTGAGAGCCGCCCAGTGTTCCTCTGTTGGACTGTGCATGAATTGGCACAACCTGTTCACCGAGAAAGAGAGGTCCGGGCGAGTGAGCAGGAGATACATAAGGGAGCCAACCAGCTGTCGGTATAGAGTAGGGTCGTCTAGCTGGGGGGAGTCAGCATCAGTGTTTGATGTAGCTGACGTCATTGGAGTGGCAAGCGGTTTACAAGACTCCATGCCTGCCTTGCGTAGGAGTTCTGACATGTATCGTTGCTGAGACAACACCACTGTGGTAGCGTTATACACGGCTTCAATGCCTAAGAAGAACCGTGGCTTCCCAAGGTCCCTTATCTTGAACGATGTGGACAGTTAAGACACCATGTCGTCAACCATACTTGTATTGTTTGATAGGAGGATGATATCTGATATGCACATTTTACACTCATATTTTAGGTACATTTTTATAATATTTTCGTATTAATTATTTCATATTATTTAACAATTAGTTATTTTTAGAGTTTAATAACTAATGAGCTAAATATAGTACTAGAAATATATATAATATAATATATAGAATATAGTTATATAAACACACATTAATATATACTACGCATTATAAATGCATATATATATATATTATAATGTTAATGTGTGTTTTGGTCCAGCGCAAATTGAATTGAACAATTCAATTTGTTCCATTGAGGAAGCGGACAGAATGGAGAAGCATACGGAATACGGCTGAAAATTAGGAAAAATAGATGGTTGAGGTTCATTGAGCCTATTTTTAGAATGCTATAAATAGTAGGAGTTTCCTATTGTAAAATGTTCATTCTTCCCCTCTCGAATATTCTTTAAGGTTGTTATCAATGTCCATTCGCGGCTAATTTCTAGTTTGGTTTAGTGAATTGAAGCCCCGGAGTTCATTACACTGTAAGGTTATTTATTTATTTTTATTATATATATTTTTATGCATTTGAGTATTAAATATTCTTCTAAATTATTTGAATAGTTGTATCATTTAATTGCTAGGAAGGCCTACTAGTTATTTATTTGATATAATTATTTGCTATATTAGATAATGTTGTGCTACAAATTATTCTAATATTCAGTAGCAACTGAGGTTAATTATTGACGGCTTAGTGATAATTGGTCTTGGGTAGAATATTTTCCTAAATTAAATGCAACCGCCTGTGCTTGTGTTATTTAGTTTGTCGGTTTTCCTAGTTCCTATTGCTGCTACTAAATTAAATCTATAGCGCTTGTCTTAGATTATTTAGTAGTTAGGGGTAATTAAACCGCTTGTGCTTTATTTACCTACAACTAAGGGAAAATAGAAATGAAATAATTTCACGACAAATATTCAATTGCATATTAATTACTTTATTAATCAATGATCAGTGTTGAATTCCGGTGGTGGATCTTTACTAACCAAGGTTTCTTATTATAAGTGTTTTTGATATATTATTTTCATTGCTTTATTCGTTCAATTAAATTTGTTGTTTATTTAAATTCTCTTTTATTTTATCTTTATTCTCGATATATTCCAAACCCCCCCTACCTTTAATTTGAGCACAAAAGTTAAACTAGTTACTCCTCGTGGGATCGATCCTTACTCCCGCTACTACGTTTGTAAGGTTTTAATTTGGAAGCCTACGACAGCTCACCAAATTTTGGCGCCGTTGCCGGGGAGATTTTCTAGCTTATTTTGTGTTTGTTTATTTATTTAATTATTTATTTTGTTATTTGTTTATTTGCTTTTCAATTTGTCCCAAACGAAAATAAAAATAATAATTTTCTTTTCTTTCATTACTTTTACATAATTGCAAATCAAAATATATTTTCTTTTTGTTTATGCCTATAACTCGATCTGCTAATCAAGAACTCTTGCCGTACGATCCAGAAATTGAAAGAACTGTACGCAGGTGGAGGAAACAAGCTTTGAGGAAATTAGAGTTTAGTGATCTGGATACCGATTCTGCCAACTCTGATTTAGAAGAGGAACCCATGGCTCAAAATCGGTCCTTAAAAGAGCTTGGAGCTCCAAATTTAGATCAACAACCATTATGCATCACTTTCCCTGCTCTGGATGCTAATGTCCAATTTGAATTAAAATCTGGATTAATTCATCTTTTGCCTTCTTTTCATGGACTTGCAGGTGAAGACCCTCACAAACACTTGAAGGAATTCCATGTGGTGTGTTCAAGTATGAAACCCATAGGGGTTACTGAAGAACAAATCAAGTTGAGAGCCTTTCCCTTTTCGTTGAAAGATTCAGCGAAGGATTGGCTATACTATCTACCTTCTGGGAGCATCACCACATGGAATAACTTAAAGACATCATTCCTTGAAAAATATTTCCCAGCTTCAAGGGCGGCCAACATTAGAAAGGAAATATGTGGTATACGGCAAATCAATGGAGAGTCATTGTATGAATATTGGGAGCGTTTCAAAAAGTTATGTGCAAGCTGCCCACATCATCAAATCAGTGAGCAATTACTCATTCAGTACTTTTATGAAGGACTTTTTCCAATGGATAGAAGCATGATAGATGCCGCAAGCGGTGGTGCTTTAGTTGACAAGACACCGGACGCTGCAAGAACTCTAATTGCAAACATGGCTGCAAATTCTCAACAGTTTGGCAATAGACTTGTCCAACCGTCTAAGCATGTGAATGAGGTAAATATTTCTGCTCTTGAACAACAAATTTCTGGTTTAACTACTCTTGTCCGTCAATTAGCAGTAGGCAATATGCAAACTGTAAAGGCATGTGGAATTTGTTCGGTAGTTGGGCATCAAACTGATGCCTGCCCAACTCTTCAAGAAGAACCTATTGAACAAGTCAACATGGCTGGAGGTTTTCCTGGACAACCTCAAGGTAAGTATGATCCATTTTCTAATAAATATAATCCTGGATGGAGGGATCACCCGAACCTTAGCTATGGGAACTCACAAGGGAACCAGTTTGTTCAGAATCGTTCCAACTTTCAACAATATAGACAACAATTTCCTTCCAGCCAACAACCAGCCCAAAGCTCTAGCTCAGGTATGAATCTAGAAGATATTGTTAAATCTCTTGCAACTAACACTTTGCAGTTTCAACAAGAAACACAACTATTCCAACAAGAGACAAGAGCTAGTATTCAAGAAACAAAGGTTAGTATTCAAAACTTAGAAAGGCAAGTGGGCCAACTAGCAACTACGGTAAGTCGGTTGGAAGCACAGAGCTCTGGCAAATTACCCTCTCAAACGATCGTTAATCCTAAAGAGAATGTAAGTGCAATTACTGTGGGAAGTATGTCGCTGGAAAAGAATGTTGATTTAGACAAGGAAATAAGTGCAGGTAACATTGCCAATAAAGAGAAGTCCCAAGGTAACCTTTCTTCTTTTTCTGATTATGAACCAGTGCCCCCTTTTCCTCAAGCTCTTTTGGAACCAATAAGAGGAAACTCAAATAATGATTTATATGAGACATTTCGTGAATGTGAGGCTAATAAACCATTTTTAGATTCTATGAAAAAAATACCTCGCTATGCAAATTTTCTAAAAGAGTTACGCACTATGAAAAAGAAACGAAATAATGAAAAAATTGAGGAAGTGAAAGTGCAAGAGAATGTCTCTATGGCTAATCAAAGCAATCTCCCTGAAAAGTGCAAAGATCCAGGTATGTTTACTATTCCGTGCATGATAAGTGGTGTGAAACTTGAAACTGCTATGTTAGATTTAGGAGCTTCTAATAATGTGATGCCATATTCTGTTTATAATTCATTAAATCTTGGACCCCTGAGTAAATCTAGTATAGTAATTCAATTGGCTGATGGATCTACTACATATCCTAGGGGTGTGATTGAGGATTTGCTTGTTGAAGTTAATAACTTGGTTTTTCCTGCTGATTTTTATGTACTGGATATGGAAAATGATAATAAAATTTCTCATATTTTGTTAGGAAGACCATTCTTAAAAACTGCAAAAACTAAAATCGATATTCATAATGGTATGCTTACAATGGAGTCTAATGGTAAACTTGTGACTTTTAATATATATGATACCATGAAATCTCCTAGTGATGATAATTTTGCAATTTTTGTTGATTCCTTGAAACTTGTTAAATTTAATGCAATTGCTTCTAATGAAAATAAAGAAGAAAAAAATAATAAATCATCTTTGAGTACTAATCTACATGAAGGAACTGTTTCTTTGAATACTCATAATCATCGAAGGTACTCAAAAAGACGATGGATATTTAAAGAAATATCATAAGTCGAGCCAACGACGATAAACAAAGGCGCTGCTTGGGAGGCAACCTAAGGTGTGTTTGTTCCATTTTTATTTCATTTTATTTTATTTTATTCCCTATTCTCATTCAATAACCCTTTTTCTGTAATTTTTATTCAACATTGGGGACAATGTTGATACTAAGTGTGGGGGAGGGAATTTAGTCTTATTATTTGTTTGCTTATGTAAAAAAAAAAAAAAATTATTATTTATTTTCTTATTTCATAATTTTCAAAAAATATTTTACTATTATTTTATGCAAAATAAGTATTATTTTGAAAAATAATATTTTTTCTTTCTTGGAATGCATAACATGATTGAATAAATAGTTTGGCAAGTTGTGATTAGTTTGTTAGCATCTCTTGTTTGATATGTAGTGGCTATATTAAGTAAGCAATAAACCTGTGAGTGTTTTGAGCCACTGACTGACACTTCGGTCTTATTTTCTTTCTTTTGTGTGATTTCTTCCATAATTTTGTTTCTCTAGAACTTGCCTTGATTCTCTTTTAAAGCTAATTAGACCATGCATGATTCAAATGTGATTAAGGCCATTATTTGACTTTGAGCCTCACTAGCCAAATAACCGGTTTGTCCTATGATTTATTTCCCTTTGTTAACCACTTTGAGCTTCATGGCCATTCTTTTTCTTTAATTTGAACCACATTACAAGCCTTTTTATATCTAAAAATAATGCCTTCACCCAGCTGAATAACTAGTGGAGCAAATTTTGAATTATTCTTGTAATCTACACGAGGTTGTGAGGAAGAAGTGTGGGGGAGGTCACTTTCTTGTGTTAATATGATTGAGAATGAGGTGAGTTGTATCTTCATTACCGATTTGTCGCTGGTCTTCTATGAAAAAGAAAACGAAGACAATTCATGATTCCAAAAAAATATGGAGACTAAAAAAATGAAGAAATGGGAGAAATGATGCATGTATTTTGAAAAAAAATGTTGCTGAAATTTATGAGAAAAAATGAGAAAGAATCAGCA